TTTCTCAAAATTTCTAAAAATGCTAAAAAAATCATTTAGTACAAACATCAGTACAACAATTTACAATAGAATAAAATAAAATGCAAACAATCAAGTGATTTAACCATTTGTTTTAGGGATCAATAATTAAATTAAGTCAAATTCATAATTTCTATTACAAAAACAATAATTAATTGACTAACGGCCTGACTCTTAAGGTTCGCAATGTAGTCGTCAAGATGCCTTAATGTCCCAAAAAAATTAAAAATAGGGTTCATTTTGACTGAATTTAGGTTTTCCTTTAAAAAAATACGATTCGAGAGGTTGTCACTAATCTTTGTTTAAGGTGTGATTGAATAACCAACAAATATTTTAATTTAAAATTTATTGAAACTACTTTTAGGTCTGCGCACCAAAAACCAAGTTTGAGAGTTGATTACGTGTGGGAAGGATTAGCACCACCACAATGCCCGAAAAAGTGTACCTAGTTGATTAATTATTGTCTTTGCAAATGGAATTTACGAATTGGAATTTTAATTTAATTAATTATCCCTTTTTCAATTGAATAAATACACCATTATTTAACCGATTAAAATTCTAAAGAGAAAGTTAACCACTTGTTGCATTTAACTGAAGAGAGCTAGCCACCTAATATGAATTTGGACTGCATCTCCCTTTTTTCCTATCAAAGTAGTGAATTGCCAATATTTCTTCTCAGGAACATAAAGTAAACTAACAACACTTCAGTATTTCGAACTCATGAGAAATATCATCTAATATAAAGTAGCACAATGATTTTCTCATTCTCGGAAAGAAATAAGAAATACTATCATTTTACAATTAAATGTTGTATTTATTCACATAGAGATTATGCAACAAACAAATATTTTATTAATAAAAATTACCAAGCCTTTAAGATAGATAGAGGATGTTCAAATATTTATAAATATGGAGATTAGAACATCGAATAGGTCCAACGGTTTATCCTCGTTAAATCTAAATATAGAAACATTTTATCTTTCTACTCTCTTAATTAATTTTAAAGTGTTTTCATTTTAATTGGTTTTACTGGATGATATTTATTTTAAATTACTCAAATCAAACTACCAGTTAGATTAGGACAACCCTCTTTAATAATTTAAAATAATTAAATATTACATTTTAATCATATTATGAAAATATCGAGTGATGCACGTGAGGCTACTATGCATATAAGTAATTTAAAATTTTCATAAGATCAATCAACATGCTTCAATAAAAATTAATTACAAAGTTAAAGAATCAAGTCAAAGAATTAATTTAACTATAAATTAGGATAATAACGTAAAGTATCAAAATTAAAGGCATAAATAGAAAATATAAATAATTAAAAACATAAATAATGAATTATGAATCTAAAAGATATAAACACTAAAATTGCCAAAAAAAATATAATAAAGTAATAAATATAAAAATTAGGAAATTAATAAATTATTAAAAATATAAAGAATGTATATATAAAAGGAAAAAAATTATAGTGATGATGATAATACTAATAATTAAAAAAGGTAAATAAAGTTAAATGTAAAATTAAACATGTAAAAAAACATATACATGACATTATAAATATAAAGATAGAATATTTGATTTGTAAAGATTTTGTATAATATAAAATATATATATGTATATAAACATAATATAAATAATATGAAACATATAAATAAATAAATAATATATATATAAGAATTAAAAGGAAAAAACATTGATTTTTTTAGAAACCTCAAGGAATGCTTGATTTAAGAAAATATACTCGAAATCATTTTTCTTTTTTCCTCGATTTCTCTCTTCCGATGAAATTTTGAAAATAAAATAAGATTGAAATTGATTGAAACAATAAGAACAAAAAAGAAAATAAAAAGAAATACGGCGATAGTTCTCTTTTATTGTTTGTATTCTTAATATTACAAAAGAAAATAACAAGACCCGTATCTAAAGAAATAACATTTAAATCTTTTTAAATCAAATTAATTAACATATTCATTTCTCTTTATACGAAATTACACTTAATATGACAAGATTTCTTCAAGATATTTTCTGATAAGTTGACGTTCTTTTTTCTCCAATACTAGTATAATGGACTCTCTAGCATTTCCCAAAAAAATTGATTCAAATAAGTTGAAGCCCGCACAAAAGTTAGGTATCACATAACCATTTTCGAATCATCAAGAATCTCATCCACAATCTTAGCCATTCATCCTTCCTCTTCTTTGATAGAACCATCTTTATTCTTAGAAGGGTTATACGCATATGGTCCATTAACTTCTTCTAGCGTCGCAGAGAGTTACTTGACAAAGTGATTCTCAAGAGAAAGAGAATGATATGCAGATAATTTCTTGTATCAATTTTTGTAAATCATTAACATTTTGCATTTTAGAAGGCATTCTAAATTTCCAGTTACCCTACTCAACAACCAAAAAGCTTCAGTATTATTAACTGGATCCTGGCTCCACTTTCATGTTTTACTTCATCAATGTATCTGAATACATCATTTAAAACAAAACAATCCTTGTTTTTGTTTGTAATATAAAATTGGGTAAATTACATATTTAGTGTCTAAACTCTTAGTTTTATCCCATTTTAGTACCTAAAAAATCATATCTAATGTTTAGTCTTTTTTTCATTTTAATACCTCATCGTTAAAAACTTAACGACGCTGCTTTTTTTATGGGTGAATTACATCATTCATCACTCAACCATCTTCTCATTCCTATTTTGGTAATAAAGTTTGAAAACTTTCAGTTTAACTACTCGACTTTCAAATTGTTCCTATTTTAATCACCCTAATTTATTTTATTAATAATTTTTGTGACGTGATTTTTTTATTAGTATTATAATTAAAAATATTAAATTTGAAAGTTAGAGTGATTAAATTAGGAATAATTTGAAAATTAACTAATTACATTTAAAAAATTAAACTTAAGTGACCAAAATAGGAGTGAGAGGACATTTTAGTGATGAATGAAACAATTTACCCATAAAAAAGATGCCACGTATAAATCACTCGTTAAGTTTTTAACAACGAGGTACTAAAACGAAACAAAAAATAAATATTAGGTATGGTTGAAAACAAATTGAAAGTTTCAATACTAAAACAAACCAGAACTGATAGTTTAGGTAATAAATGCGTAGTTTACCCTATAAAATTAAGGGATTGCTTTTAAAGAGTTTGTTACTTATATTTAGGAAGTGTTTAGAGTGTATAGTTCTCAATTGACAATTTTACCCTCTGTTACTACTATAAAAGGGATAGACCTCCTTCCTAATTGAATATGTAATTGATGGTTTCTGTATTTTCATTTTGAAAATATTTTTGTTGAGGATCTCATTACTTTACTTCATACGTACAAGATTTAGAGAACTCTATTAATCTTAGGGTAACGTCTACTTATGAGATTACAACAGCTCGAATAAAATTGATTCTAAGTTGGTGGCTAACATTTATGTCTTACAACGATCTTATTTTGTAATAGCCTTGAGGTGCCAAAAAGAATCTAACGTCCATTTGATTTTAAAAATATTTTTTGTTTTTGTTTTTGTTTTTATTTATAGAAAATAGTTTTTATTTTCAGTTTTTTAAAAATAAAAAAACATGTTTGGTTAATATAAATGAAAAGTTAAATTCAAAATTAAAAATTATGAAAATATATTTTATATCTAATTTTTTTAAAATATAGATGAATAAATAGTTATTAAATAAGTAAATTAAAATATAATTATTAAAATTTTAATTACATAAATTTAACATATGAGTTATGCAAAAATAATAAAATTGATAAGAAATTTCATAATACAAAAAATATATTTAATTTTTTAACCAACTAAATCAAACCATCAAGACGATTACATGACAGTTCACAAAGTTTATGTGATAATCTACAATGTTGATGTAACAATTCATTATGTTATTGTGGTAGTACATGGTGGATAATCATGTGGTAAATGAGTTTAATTGATTTTTTACTAAATTTGAGGGGCTCGTTAATAATTTAGAAAGTTTGAGGACTTATTTAAAATTTTAAAAAAAATTAATGTATTATTAAAATAGAAAATATAAATAATTATTAAGATATTTAATACATTAAAAATAAAAATGCTAAAAAATTAAATTATTAAAAAATTAGTTTAAAAACCACATCGAGTGTAAAAAAAAGTTTAAGACCATATTGATTTTTTTGAAAGTTTGAGGATTTTAGATACCATTAAATAAAAAAATTATTGTTAGAAGGATTGAACATGCGTAAGTTGAGTTAAAAATCTATATTTCGTATTTTTCTGTTTTTCAAATTTTTGAAACAATTTTAATGAAAATATTGAAAACATCTTTTTTTATGTTTTCATATTTTTCAATTATTTTTGTTTTCATTTTCTAGAAATTATTTTCTAATTTTACCACCAAACATGTTTTTTTTTCAATGTTTTCTATTTTCTAAGAAAATGAAAAGAGCCTCTGTTTTCTTGAACCAAACGGATCTCATGGTAAAACCGGTGAACCAATTCAGGGATTGGTGTAAGATATGGTAGTATTGATGAACAAAGTCAATACACACCTAAATTATCCAACAAAAAACAAATTGGGTCGGGGAAAGGAAACTAATTAATCAAATAACTTATTAGATCAACAAGATTTATCCGTTTTAACTGGATTCTAAAAATAAAACGATAGAAAATTATAAATATCAAGTATTGAATTAATTTAATTTAAGATTGAATTAATAAAATGTATAAGTAATAGACTAATTATTTTATTATAAAATATAATGGTTGTATATAACATTAATGGTGACCTTATCATAATTTATGTTATAAGTGTATACATAAAAATTCAAGATATATTTAAAGAATTATTAAAGCATTAAAGAAAATGTATGGTACTGGAACTCAGCTGAATGTGGATCGAGGAGTATGTGTCGTAAACGGATATATGTCATACACGAATGGAAGACAAGTGCAGTGAAAACAACATAAATCCAAGTAACTAAATCCTAATTTACAGAGGAGCAGCATGCAAACTGTACCCAAAATGGCCTACCTTTCCTTTTTTCTCTCTTAATACCAGACAGATACCCCGGTGGAGAGTTCCATTCTTTCTCTGTTTCAACATGGGCTAGCTCAGCCATAGGTGTTTCAGGGTCCACAGTCGAGCTCACTTTGGCACCCGTGGTTCCATCGTCTCTTGGACCCAAAGCAGCTGGGTTCGGGTTCGAGGACTTGGGTTTGGGTTCACTATCATCGGCTAAGTTCTTCAGAGGACTGTGCCTGTTTACATTCCAGTTAGCCACCTTTTCTATGATCTTTTCATTCTTTTTTCTTCCTTGAGACTCATTGGCCGCATGAGTGAGTGAAGGGAACCAGCCGGCTCTAGTGTTTTCGGCATTCTGTCCTGTCGGGGTTTTGGAAACAGCGGTGTCTTTAGGGTCGCTACTGCCTCCAACTTCAACCAATGTCATGAAAGATGGTGGATCGAACTCGCTCAATTCATCGAAATGTTCTTCAGATGCCGGTTTCGACCTCTTTATGTTTGCTTTCCCTCCTTCCGAAAGTGCTTGTGATGCGGTAGATGGTAAAGTCTCAGTGTCAATGGCAGCCGGGTTGTCGGATTGGGTTGACAGCACTGTTCTCCATAGCACAAAAACAACAAATCAACTTAACTCTTGGATTTGGATATGTTCATTAATAAGCAAAATAGGTGGTAACGTACCTGAAACAGATCCCCAGTGGCCTTCCAAACTATCAGTTCGACTACTAGAATCGAACGAAACATCACCTACAGTTGTATCGAGTTGAGGTTTAACGGATCCACTATCAGCTTCCCCTTGCAAAATTACAGCGCTAGTCTGAGAAGCAACAGCTCTAGGCTCTCCAGTATGGCCATCTCTGACAGCACCAGAATGTATCAACTCTTTCTTCAACTGGTCGGCTGATGTTCTCTCGATCTCGTTCGGTTCACTATTGTCTACAGAAGAAGCCATAAGATTTTTTATGACACTCTCTCCATGTACCTTTTCGTAGCTATTTGTTTTAGATTCCTTTTTGTCATCTTGACTGTTGGAAACTATATCCAACTGCAGGCCTTCAGGCTCATTCTGTTCCTCGATGACAATTACGGATTGGTGATGATTGCTAATTGATTCGGACGTAGAGTCAGTCTTCATTGAAACGTTTTCTTTCTCTGGTTCATCCCCGTCTTCAACTTCATTGATATCGGACTTTAGAGTTTTTCTTGTGCCGACATCATCAGAATCATCAACTTCAAGCAAGTCCAATGCTGGATTAGTATGCGAAGAACTATTACTAAATTCACATGATGTTCCCATGTTTTTAGTATTATTTTCATCTCCGGCTACATTACTTAGCTTTCCGGCCCCAACATCAGCATCTGTAACCACAGGTTTCGCATCGGGTACATCATTTATCATGCTTCCTGGAAAACCTGTCCGATGTAAGTCATCGGCAACATAAATTGGCTGTTGTTCTTTGAGAGATCGGACTTCCAGATCTTTCTCATTCCCAGTTGTCCAGCATCAACAGGAGAAAATGCATCAGACCCTTTATGTAAATCACCAGCAACATAAACCGACTTCTGTTCTTCGAGAAACCAAACTTCCCGGTCCTCATTCTCAGTTGTAACAGCATCAACACGAGACAATGCATCTGACCCTTTATCGATCTGAATTGCATCAGCATTCCCGACAAAGACCACTTCTTTAGCCATAGCTTCATTATTTACACCAAGTTTATAGTTATCCTCCGTAACGATGTCTTCATCCACTGGATTCAACACAAAAGTATCGGATTTCTCCTGTGAAGCACAGTCTTTGATTTCATCTTCCTTATCAAGGATAATTTCTTCAGAGGCTAAGGCTTCGGATTGGAATAAATTAATTCCCTTATGATCTTTAAAACCAACTAGCTTAATTTCAGCATCATCTACAACATGAATATCATCGGGAACGGAAAGCACATAAACACTTTCTTTTTCCTTTTCCCTTTTTTCATCAACCTCATTTGAATCAACATCAATGGACGAGTCTGTACCGTGTGATGCATCAGTCTGTATTTCAAAGGTATCTGTTGGCACATTAGTGTCTTTCGAGAACTCGGCTTTAGTCGAAAGATCATCAACGACCACGTTGAGGGCCAACTTGTCACTATTATCCTCTAATTCAACGGTTTTGTCAGCCAAACCAGTCTCAGAAGTTAAATCCTCCGTACTTTTGGATTTCAAACTTGCATCCATTAGATTTCCGCTCATAGGTGTATCAGAAGACAACCTATCACTACACTCTTCCTTCAATTGAACCATATCTGAAGCTACATCCAGTCTTTTCTCCAAACTTGATTCTGTTCCCGATATTTCGCCACCATGTTTGCTAGGCTGAACCGAGTGACTTGATAGGTTTTCGTCTAACTTGCCGTTTTCATTCTCATCGGCATCAGCACCAGCTTCCCTAGTCTCTTGCAGGACACCCTGTACTGTTTCCATTTTGATCGAGACCACATCACCAGCAGAACCATCTTTATCTTCAGAATCGTTACCATAGCTCAAGTCAACATCATCGTGCTCAGGCCTGTCTGTCAGGAGAACCGGCATGCTTTTCAGAACCGGATTTTCCATTTGGCCTCCATCAGCTGAATTCAGAGGTGATCTAAGGATGCCTGCATATGCAAATGAAACCAAATTGTTAAAATCAGATCAACGGTAATGCTAGAATAGCATCTCGGACGATGCTATCGACATGAAAAGCACCGCGAATTTAGTTAACTTTCATTTTTCTTTTAGATCTTGCTATGATTCAGAAGCTTAGATTATCATATACTCCAATGTCTACCCGACATTGATACTTGGAGTAGAATGGGGTAAGAACGGACAAGCAACTTATTTCAACTTTTGTCGGAAACAGGATTTAAATAGAGGTCCGCTAAAGGAATAGTGGCCGTTATATAGCGGTTTTGGTGCTCTCCAAAACCGTTATGTCCACAATTGCGCGACGGCAACTGCAGTTTAAATTCCGAAGATCTTTCATTGACTAAAGTTAACTGAAAAATCTAGCCATTCCCTATTGGTATCATAAGAAGTTACCAATATCCTCACAATCTTTAAAAGAAACGGCGGGCGTAAGATCCTTGTCGGCAAACTTGTTGACTTCACCGGTATTATCGGCATCCAAATCGAACCCGGTGTCTTGAAGTTCCGTCACCGCATCGGAAAATATTTCGTCTTCAGATCTAATGCACGCTCCTGTTCCTCCAATACTTTTCTCCGAACGACGCCGTTCCATGATCTTTGCGTCAACTACATTCACCAGAACGGCACAATAGATTAGAACAGAGTGGAAAACAAATCGAAATCAGTTTCTCTGAGAAAAAAATCATCAACAATCAGAACCAAAAGATTAAAAAAGAGAAGTTAATTTGGAAACAATAATAAAAACAAAAAAAATGTTATCTATTAAAGGCAAACAAATTCAAGCAGCCTAGAAAACACTGAAAATCCATTAAAACAAAACCCAAAGTTTTTTTCTATAAGAAACAAGAAAACTAAGACACATTCACCGGAGAAAAACTCCAACAAGCCATAAAATGAATGATTTAAGAAATGAAAATAAAAACAAAATCATATAAAGAGTTGGAAAAGAAAAAGAAAAACCTGGGGAGTGATAGTTTCCGCGATCTTGATTCTCCATAACCAAGAGGAACTAGAAGCAAAGATTAGAGTCGTAGAGGGTGCTGGGATATCAGAAAATATAGAAAAGCACAATAAGAAGAAATGATCAAATGGGATTTTCCAGGAAAAGAAAAATAAAAACCAATCAAATGGAGAGACTTGACTTATCATACACTATATAGTAATTATAGTGTGAAAACGGATGGAGAGACTCCATCCCAATGCAATTTTGCATAAAGAGATAAGAGTAGAAAATAGAGAGTTGGTGATACAGTTGCACGTGGAGAAACCCTTTGACTAAGGTTTCTCTTCTTACATTATTCCCTAAATATTCTTACTGTTTTTATAGATTTTCTTTCGCGTAACATAAAGAAAGAAGAAACGTCAAAGATCATTCATATGATGTTTGTAATAATATTTTTATTTATTGATTTTATTGAATAAATATATTATTATTATTTTTATTTATATATATACGTTTAACATAAATTAAAAGATAATAAAATTCATATAATGACATAATTATTATTATTATAAGATCCCTAATCAAATATTATTATGGACATAGATAATAATAATACGCTTAAGACTAACATGTTATTGATTGATGACAAAGAGTTGTTATTGACATAGAGATGTCAGAATTGATACATGATTATATTGTTAGAGAACAATGTTTGGATTGACCGACTATGAGCATATGTCTTGGATTATTATATGACAGTCATAACATTGCTCATGGTGATGACTATATGTATGATCCTCAGACTTGAGATCAATACTATCCCAACATATCTTGTTGTATGTTTTGATGCAGCTAAACAAGCTCCGTAACTGGTTTCTCTATAAAGACTGTTATTGAATATATCTCAATATATGTAGTGGGTGTGTATGATTAAGATAGGATTTGTCCTTCCTAAATAATAGGAAATATATCACAGGCCACTTGATTGAATAAGACTAGAAACGCATGGTCATGCTCGAATAAGTTGATATGAGATATCATAAACTATTCGTTAATTAAAGTCTACTTTAGATATCAAGAAACAATAGATGAGCTATACAAGTGTGACTATTCCAAGATTTGTGCCTATTCTAGATATAAAGGACACAAGGATATGATACATAAAAGAGTAATCACCAAGATGATATGTCGAATCATATTTTCTTATAACTTAGGTGACAATGATATATTGCTAGATGTCACTCATTGTATGTAATATTAGAATTGTTCTAATAATTACTGCTAACGTTACAAGAATCTACAAGGTCACACCCTACGATTAAAACGAGCAAATATGTATAATTGTTGTACGTTACTAAAATATATATCTATAGTTAATTAAATATATGTTTTAATAATCATGAATATTTAATTTTAATTAATTAAATATATATTTAATTAATTTGAAATAATAAAATCCTTAATATGATTAGGGTAACTTGGATATAAGAGGATTATTAAATTTCAATTAATTAAATATAGATTTAATTAATTTGAAATAATAAAACCCTAATATGATTAGGGTAACTTGGCTATAAAAGGGTGTGTTAGGTCTAGCAGCCATTGGGCAACACACAATGGTTTATTTTGAAATACGGTCTACGAGTCGTGTTTTTCTATATCTCTGTTGTATTTCTCTTCTCATCTTACTCCCTCGTATATAAAACGAGTTTCTTTTAAAATTGTAAATCTATGAAGATTCACAAGGAGCAGAAGAATGGCAAGAATATGCCTAGAGAGCAGTCTTAGGCTTTAGGGTTCTTGGTTCTCCCATTGGCTTGGGATGAGCCACCTTAGTCATTGGTTTGGGCTATAACCATTGCATCTTATTTATTGATATATTTGTTATGTATGCAATGCATCAAATGATATAATAAGAATAAAAATTTATGAGATCAATAAGGGTCTAATATTAAAACGAACAATGATGAGATAATTATGCAAATCCCTCTTTATAATCTAAGTTAACTTAACCGTCCAATATTTACCCTCGTTAAGGCTTTGATCGATATTGTGTGGGCTTTTCCAAAGCATTAGCACATAAATCAATCTTCGTTAAATGTGAAGAATAAGCAAGTGATATTTACCGGTTGAAATATTGGTAATAACTTAGCTAGGTTATTCTAAAAGGATTAGAAACCTAGAGGTTAAATATTTGGATAAGTCATGAGATGACTTGAACAAAAGTTGTTCACAAAAAATGAGGAGTTATATTAGATGTAACTAGTCAAGTGTTACTTACCTAAATAATCACTATCCTAAAAGAAAAGCCAAAGTTGATTTAGGAAATTGATGTATTATGGATCCTCACCCACTAGCAAAATTTTCGTTGAATTTTTCCGAAATTAAAACAAAGAGGGTTTTTAATTTTGAATAAAATAGTGGGAGTAATTTGTAAATAAAGTCATATTTATAAATTTTAAATTCGGTAAATTTACTTACTTTAATATTTCCATTGTTGTAGATTTAATGGCAAACAACACTTTATCACTGCGATCACTCCTTGAGAAGGATAAACTTAATGGCATAAACTTCCTTGACTGGTTTTGTAATTTAAGAATTGTTCTCAAACAGGAAAGGAATGAATATGTCATTGAGGAACATGTTCCTGATGAACCGGCAACTAATGCTTCAAAAGTTGACAAAGACAAATTCAAGAAACATATGGATGATATGTTAGATGTTGGATGTCTAATGCTTGCCACCATGACTCCTGAGCTTCAGAAGCAACATGAGGACATGGTTGCATATGACATGATTCAAAATCTCAAAGAAATATATGAAGGGAAAGCACGTCAAGAGAGATATGAGACCTCTAAATCTCTATTTCAATGCAAAATGGCAAAGGGAACTCCTGTAGGAGCTCATGTCATTAAGATGATGGACTACATCCAAACGTTGGTAAAGCTGGGATTTCCTCTCAAAGATGAATTGGCTACCGATGTTATCCTGCAATCGTTGCCAGATAGCTTTAGCCAATTTGTCCTTAATTTCCACATGAATGAAATTAACAAAACTTTGCCACAATTACTTGGCATGTTACGAACTGCTGAAAGTAACATGCAAAAAGGTTGGACCTAAGCTCATTCTGATGATCCACAAGGACAAAAGAAAGGGAAAGAAAAAAGTAGTGGAAAAGTCTAAGGGAAATGGTAAGACCAAACCAAAAAGGGAAAATGCATTGAAACCCAAAGGGGGGTTAGCAAAGAAGGAAAATGTTTCCATTGCGATAAGACCAGACACTGAAAGAGAAACCACCCTGTTTACCTTGAAGAGGTCAAGAATTCAAAAGCAAATGGAACATTTGTTTCAGGTATTTATGTTATTGATGTTAATTTGTGAAGATCTACTTCTTGGGTATTAGATACCGGTTGTGTAACATCCGCAATACCGGGTTAGTGACTAAATTGAAAAGTTTCAAAATTTAGTGACTAAAGTAGAAGAATGAAATAATTTAATGATTATTGGAAATATATGATGAAGGTTATTTAGTAATTATTAAAGGAAATTAAGGGTAAAATGGTCATTTGACCAGAAAGATTTTTATCTTTCTTTTAAGGTGATAAAAACGTGGAAAAGGTGAGAAGAAAAGAAAGATCTGGAGCTTGGGTCATCTCCTTCCTCCTTCTTCTCGTAAGCTCCATGGAAAAGGTAAGTTTAATTTCAGTTGGTTAATTCTTGAGTTTTAAGCTTAGTTTTGATTCTTGGGGTGCTAAGAAAGATTATTTAGAGATTAAAGTAGGTTGAAACTTCAAAATGGATGAGTTATGAAGGATTAAATATGAAGAGTTTTTGAATGAAATTCTGGAATAGAGTTCTTTACTCAAATTAGAAGATAAATTTGACTTGTCAATGGTTGAATTAAGAGATATGAAGTGATGAATTGAATTTAGAACAAGAAGAAAAATTAGAGTGATTCTTGAATTCTATGTAGAGAATTAGATTTTGAAGTTAAAGATGTATTAAATGAGTAGTAATGAGTTTAAGCATGTATATGTAAGTTAAGAATAAGAAAGGGGATGATATATGAAGTGTTTGAGAGGAATGAAGTAATTTTTGTGCTGAAAAATGATTTCTGGGTTAGGGGGAATCGGTACCCATTCAAAGGGGTACCGATACCCTCTCAAACGAGCAGAATTCCATAATGTCATGAGGGTATCGATACCCCCAGAAGGGAATCGATACCCCCTAAAGGAAAATTGAAAATATGGGTTTAATAAGTTCGTTTAAGTTGATAGTATCCAACTACAAGGTGTAGGTATCTAATAATTGCCTTAAAATGTACATTTATGTAGATTCTGAGCATAAGGCAATTCTGGAACATTTGGCAAGTAAGATCGATCGGGGGAAAGATTAGAGATCGAGATTGACTAGTGAGACCAGGTTAGTGCATATTCAATAGTATATGGTGTGTGATGGGAATAAGACTTGCGATGAGTCTATTTCCTGAAGTGTTACATATGAATTCATGATTAAAGACATGAGTTGAATATGAGTGTATGTATGTTTGATTATCTGAATTGATATGTTTTGTGTGTTCCATGTGGTTTATGTAAAAACACGATTAAGTGTTATTAAGAGAATATAAAATAAGTTATGAAATTATAGGAATATAGAAGATAAGTCGAGAAATGTAGGGAAATAGAAATAGATGTTTATAAAGAGTCATAGGAGAACAAATATAAGTAATATGATAATGAAATATAAGACTATGTGAATACATGGTTATGAGATAAAATATGTAATAATAGGAAAATATGATGAAAGTGAGTTTATGAGAAGTGATATGAACTAGTAAAGATGGGTAACAGTATATGCATAATGGAAACATGAGTTGGACAAGTACATAGTGGTATGATTTATTATGAGAATTAGTATAATGAAGCTATATGAAAAGATTATAATGAATATATGAAATTGAATTAAGTAAAGAGATTAAATTAGTACCTAAATAAAAATACTATTAAATGATATATGTTTAGAAATACTACATAATTTATAATCTATGGGAATACAAAGAAATGGAGCATAAGGTAGATAATATGATATCAGTTATTATATACCTATATGATATATGTCAGCAGGTAATATGAAAGGACTCTGAAAATTGATATAAGCTATGAGAAAGTGTTCTAGGTGTTTCTATGTGTTATATGAAACATATATGATCATATGTGAACAAGATATGATATGTATGTTTATATAAATATCTGAGAAATGATCTAAGCTATATGATATGATATATGTGTTTATATGCACTTT